TCCATTTTGGGTCCCACATAGGTCCGAACGTCCTAGACCTATATCGGAAGTTTTGGGTACGTCCAGTCTCTTACTTATTTGGGAAAATTATAGCGGATATACTGGGTACGTCCCAAGGACGTAATTGAAGCATTGTGTTTCCAAAGGGTCTAAGTGCCAAGTTGGTTAAATAATATATTAATTATCATTTATTTAATTAAACTGTAGTTATATGATATCTTACAGTATTATCTTTTCTTACTTCTTACTGAAATCATATTATTAACTTTTTAAGACGTCAACTTGGAGACGTCACATTTATGACATTTTATTGCGATTCTTTCTTCTCACCGCTGTAACTGCTTGTGTTTGATATAAGAAGCGGCGAAGTAGAATTTAGAGCGTGCTTCATACCAAACGGTCTTAGACCTAGGTAAACGGCTACTCGATACTGACGAGCTCCAAAAGAGGGAAACAGGCCGTCTATCGGTGCCGGTGAAGAGCACGCTTAAATTTAAACAAAAGTGAGACGAAGTAATCGCAATTCCTAAAATAAGCGAATACGAGCAAATTATTAAAATGATTTTAATAAAATCCATTTAACAAATTAATAAAATACGTCATATTGCTGTCTGGGCCTTTGGGAATACCACTCTTCAATTCTGTAAAGCTTGTCCTTTAGTCCCCAATAAAGCATTTCAGGATGGCCAGAGGATGTCCTACTTAGGACGTTCTGGGGACCGACGATTTGGTAACATCGGATGTCCCTGGAACGTCCTGGGGAAGGTTCAGGACCTGATTCGGACGTACTCGGAACTTACTAATGTCTGATACAAGATATACTCAGGACGTTTTTAGTACTTCTTTGTGCTATCTGGGTCTTTGCTGTGTGGAGCATAGTAGGTACATAATTATTTGTTCTACTCACGTGCGCAAAGTAATATCCACACGCATTTAATTTCCGCAATTTCGTGCGTGCGGAAAGTAAGCGACCGGAAAAGTGCAACTTTCGGCACGCTTGTAGAAAATTGGGTGAAAAACAAAATAAACATTAAATTATTATTTTAAATAAGTGTTATTTGCCTATTACTTTGCTTTTTACGTGAGTAATTTAAAAAATCTGTCATCTGTCACCAACCTGTCATTTGTCACTTATCATCTGTCACCTGTCAAAGTGTTGCTTGATATTGTATTGAGTATACCTATGATTAAAAAATTATTTTTTATTCTGGTAATTTTGACAAAATCTGGCAACACTGCAAATGTGGCAATTTCGCATTATATTTGATTTTTTCCCTCCGTATATGACGTCACTTCCGTCTCGTGTCGAGGTTTCTATTTTTACTCCCGATTACGACACGTTCTCTTCCACTTAATCTTTGAAATTGAATCCTCGACTCAAGTAGAGCATATAATATTAATTTTTACATGGCCCAAACACCTCCACGGAAATAGAATGAATAACATTCATTAGCACAAAATTTGAACGCTCGACTCAAGTGTATATATCAGAACATACATAAACTTTGACTTTGAATACTTCAGAGAGGTATTGAGAACTTGACCTGTTGAGAAGTATTCAGCACCTTAAATTTCCTATATCAAATTCCTATTCATCACAAAATATTCAAAGACTATAAAGGTAAAACCGTCTATGTAAGATAGAATGAATAATAATTATCAGCACGAGATTTGAATGCTTGGCTCAGGTGTAGAAATCAAAACATACATAAACTTTGACTGCAAATACTTCGGAAAGGTATTGAGAAACTTAACCCGTAGAGAAGTATTCAGCTCCTTGAATTTTGTATATCGCATTTCTATTCATCACAAAATATTCAATGACTATGAAGGTAAAAACGTCAACAAAGTATAAGAGCCGAAAAGTATTCGGACACATGAGCTGCAAATATAAAAGGTCAAATCTTGAATAGAACCAGATTCAGCACTGCAAATGAAAAAATATTGGCTGTATTCAAGTTCTATGGACCTGAATCTGGTTCTATTCAAGATTTGACCTTTTATATTTGCAGCTCATGTGTCCGAATACTTTTCGGCTCTTATACTTTGTTGTCGTTTTTACCTTCATAGTCATTGAATATTTTGTGATGAATAGAAATCCGATATACAAAATTCAAGGAGCTGAATACTTCTCTACGGGTTAAGTTTCTCAATACCTTTCTGAAGTATTTGCAGTCAAAGTTTATGTATGTTTTGATTTCTACACCTGAGCCAAGCATTCAAATCTCGTGCTGATAAATATTATTCATTCTATCTTACATAGACGGTTTTACCTTTATAGTCTTTGAATATTTTGTGATGAATAGGAATTTGATATAGGAAATTTAAGGTGCTGAATACTTCTCAACAGGTCAAGTTCTCAATACCTCTCTGAAGTATTCAAAGTCAAAGTTTATGTATGTTCTGATATATACTAGGGTGTGCCAAAAAAACTCGATATTTCTTTTTTCTTGCTCTCCACCCAAAATGTTGTAGAATATGTCCGAACAAATATCCTGTTAAAAGCGGAGCTCATAATTTCAATTTTAAGAGGTCCTCCATCGAATCTGAAGTTTTGCCGCTTAAATAGCACAGAAAACTGACTTTTTTACCTTATTTATTCTTGCAACCTAGGAAGAAATTTTTTGTTCATAAAATTCATGACCAAATCTTACAAAGCATTAAATTTGGACGAAAAAATCTTATTAAGCCAAATTTCTATTTTCATTATTTGATTTTTTACAGAGCTTTAAATTTAAAATGTTATGTTTTTTGCCTTTTTCAGCTAAACTATTGAAGTTAGACGAAAAAGTTAAATGGAAATTTTTTAGCTTGTCTGATGGACCACCAAAAAGATTTAGGCGAATTTTTTGTATCGTCAATATTCTAAAAGTTACAGGCGTATAAAGTCATCATTTTTGTATTATTAATGAATATTAATGTAATATTTTTAATATAATTTTTAATATAATTTTTTGTACAATAATAGTTAGTAAGATATTATTATTAGTATTTTAAGCGATAATTCACTGTAAACAATGGAATAAGACATAAAATTTTTATAATATTTTGTATCTATTGTCAATTGTTTTACGTAAAAAACCATCGAAATAAGCTTAAATAAGTTTGTAAATTTTAATGGTTGACAGTATATCAAATTTTATTAGGACAATTTTTCCGAAAATTCAATTTTTTTTATAATTCTCTATTGACTTTTTGTGCTAACATTAATATTTCACTCACAAAAAGTTAATAATACAAAAATGTTGAATTTATACGCCTGTAACTTTTAGAATATTGACGATACAAAAAATTCGCTTAAAACTTTTTTGTGGTCCATCAGACAAGCTAAAAAATTGCCATTTGACTTTTTCGTTTAACTTCAATAGTTTAGCTGAAAAAGGCAAAAAACATAAAATTTTAAATGTAAAGCTCTGTAAAAAATCAAATAATGAAAATAGAAATTTGGCTTAATAAGATTTTTTCGTCCAAATTTAATGCTTTGTAAGATTTGGTCATGAATTTTATGAACAAAAAATTTCTTCCTAGGTTGCAAGAATAAATAAGGTAAAAAAGTCAGTTTTCTGTGCTATTTAAGCGGCAAAACTTCAGATTCGATGGAGGACCTCTTAAAATTGAAATTATGAGCTCCGCTTTTAACAGGATATTTGTTCGGACATATTCTACAACATTTTGGGTGGAGAGCAAGAAAAAAGAAATATCGAGTTTTTTTGGCACACCCTAATATATACACTTGAGTCGAGCGTTCAAATTTTGTGCTGATGAATGTTATTCATTCTATTTCCGTGGAGGTGTTTGGGCCATGTAAAAATTAATATTATATGCTCTATACTTGAGTCGAGGATTCAATTTCAAGGATTAAGTGGAAGAGAACGTGTCGTAATCGGGAGTAAAAATAGAAACCTCGACACGAGACGGAAGTGACGTCATATACGGAGGGAAAAAATCAAATATAATGCGAAATTGCCACATTTGCAGTGTTGCCAGATTTTGTCAAAATTACCAGAATAAAAAATAATTTTTTAATCATAGGTATACTCAATACAATATCAAGCAACACTTTGACAGTGACAAATGACAGGTTGGTGACAGATGACAGATTTTTTAAATTTAAAACTAAAAAGCAAAGTAATAGGCAAATAACACTTATTTAAAATAATAATTTAATGTTTATTTTGTTTTTCACCCAATTTTCTACAAGCGTGCCGAAAGTTGCACTTTTCCGGTCGCTTACTTTCCGCACGCACGAAAGTGCGGAAATTAAATGCGTGTGGATATTACTTTGCGCACGTGAGTAGAACAAATAATTATGTACCTACTATGCTCCACACAGCAAAGAGCCACCACGTGACTTTGATATAAATAATTAAGGTTAATTTTCTGTCAGTTTCAAGCTAATTTTAACCTATTTTCTGAAAATAATGCAATAATAGTATATTAAAGAACTAATGTCATAAGACGTCATTTTGTCGCACGCGGACAATTTATAAAACGAGCGACGAAGGAGCGAGTTTTATAATGGACAAGTGCGACAAAAGGTCTTATGACATGAGTTCTTTATGCTATTTTATCTATTTTGCAAACATTTCATAAAACAAATTAATTTTATACCTTATATTTAATTTGGTCGAATTTTACTTTACATAGTTGGTATCTCAGTTTGAAGTTTGAAAGGTCATTAACCTTTCAAACATTATCACATTCTTTCGCTATGGCGTCGTTAATTTACAATAAGTATTTACAATAAGCGGCTGTTAAAGAAGAAAAAAGGATTTTCTTTGGTGTTAAACAAAATTTATTGCACGAAAAGTCTCGTAAGTACTAGAAAACAAATCATAAAAATATTATAACCTATAGGTATTCAAAATTGTATTTTACCAGTAGCCAACCTATAAAATCAAAATTTTGGGTGGAATAATAGAAAAAAAAAATTACGATTTTCGATGGATAATCTGGAAGAAAACTATCCAAATGTGTAAATAAATTAAGCAGTTAGTAAGCTACCAAGTTGTTTCCAAAAAGTCCAACAGTATGCGAAGTGGTACTGCAGTAGTAACTCGAATGTTTAGATTAAGATACACAACCACTAGTTTTGAATACTTCTGACAAGGATTCAGCTCTCCGAAAGCTGAATGCTTCCTAGAGGCATTTACGTGCTTAATACCGTCAACAAACATTCATTTATCATAACATTGAATAAAGTCTATACTTCCCACAAGAGTTCAAATCTTCAATTCACTGCACAGTGCTTTGAATACGGTCAATATTTTTTCATTTGCAGTGAGGTCCATAGAACTTGAATACAGCCAATATTTTTTCATTTGCAGTGTTGATCTTATATTTGTATGGCTTTAATTTTAAATTTATTAATTATTGTTTATTTAAGTGTCTGTTTAACAATGTTTGTAGATAAAATATTGTTTGATGTAAATGTTACAAATGTTTTTATTTTGTTTGAATGGTTGGATCACTTGCCCCGCTCGTTATCCAATTTCCCTTTTCACAAAATAAAATTACTTACTTACTATGCTCCACACAAGTTTCACCACGTGACTTTGATAGAAATAATTAAGGTTAATTTTTAGAATCAAGCTAATTTTGTGATATTTTCTGAAAATATGTATTTTTTCTGTATAAAGGTTTTAATTAAGAACACAAAAAATACATTTATTGCATTATTTTCAGAAAATAGGTTAAAATTAGCTTGACACTGACAGAAACTTAACCTTAATTATTTATATCAGTCACGTGGTGGCTCTTTGCTGTGTGGAGCATAGTAGGTACATAATTATTTGTTCTACTCACGTGCGCAAAGTAATATCCGCACGCATTTAATTTCCGCACTTTCGTGCGTGCGGAAAGTAAGCGACCGGAAAAGTGCAACTTTCGGCACGCTTGTAGAAAATTAGGTGAAAAACAAAATAAACATTAAATTATTATTTTAAATAAGTGTTATTTGCCTATTACTTTGCTTTTTACGTGAGTTTTAAATTTAAAAAATCTGTCATCTGTCACCAACCTGTCATTTGTCACTTATCATCTGTCAAAGTGAGTGTATTGAGTATACCTATGATTTGCAAAAAAAATTATTTTTTATTCTGGTAATTTTGACAAAATTTGGCAACACTGCAAATGTGGCAATTTCGCATTATATTTGATTTTTTCCCTCCGTATATGACGTCACTTCCGTCTCGTGTCGAGGTTTCTATTTTTACTCCCGACTACGACACGTTCTCTTCCACTTAATCCTTGAAATTGAATCCTCGACTGAAGTATAGAGCATATAATATTAATTTTTACATGGCCCAAACACCTCCACGGAAATAGAATGAATAACATTCATCAGCACAAAATTTGAACGCTCGACTCAAGTGTATATATCAGAACATACATAAACTTTGACTTTGAATACTTCAGAGAGGTATTGACCTGTTGAGAAGTATTCAGCACCTTAAATTTCCTATATCAGACTATAAAGGTAAAAACGTCTATATAAGATAGAATGAATAATATTTATCAGCACGAGATTTGAATGCTTGGCTCAGGTGTAGAAATCAAAACACATTAAACTTTGACTGCAAATACTTCAGAGAGGTATTGAGAAACTTAACCCGTAGAGAAGTATTCAGCTCCTTGAATTTTGTATATCGGATTTCTATTCATCACAAAATATTCAATGACTATGAAGGAAAAAACGTCAACAAAGTATAAGAGCCGAAAAGTATTCGGACACATGAGCTGCAAATATAAAAGGTCAAATCTTGATTAGAACCAGATTCAGGTCCATAGAACTTGAATACAGCCAATATTTTTTCATTTGCAGTGATGCCAGTATGAGACCAGTGATGAGGAACGTAAAGAAAAAACCATAAAAAGGTGTAAATGAATCCACCCTTTTACTATCGCTAACAAAAAAAACTCATACAGCTATATTGTGGCTGTGTGAATAAAACTTTTCCGTCAATAGCTGGCCATACACAGACGTTATTGCGCGCGGTTTATCGTGTTATCTGCAAAAACATATGGAAAATCATGTACGCGTACTCACGCGTGAGTGAGTATCGTACTCACGCGTGAGTGAGTATCGCCGCGCGCAATGATAGAACGGGAAGGTATTTCAGACGTGCTTTCCTCTGGATTGTGGCGTACATCATTTCAGCAGTGTCCACACGCCACACGCCACATTCCGCGTCACGTGACACTTTTTGGCCACTCACATACGATTTTTCCTTTGAAACTGATATACTACGCGCAATCACTTGCTAAATCATTTGAATACTTTATCAAGTGTATGGAACATGACGCTTTTTTTGCCATGCCGTTCTTTCGTGCATACTAACCGCTACATCCCAACACGCCACGATAAACCGCGCGAAATAACGTCTGTGTATGGCCAGCTAATGTCAAGCTGACATCGAGCTTTGTCACATCCATTATGACTTTTTTAACATTTTCAACCAAACAATGCAGACGAACTCTGGCAAGCCATTGAAGCCATTTGGAACTAGATAAAGCAAGACGGCGACTTCCATGCTTTGCCGTTTGCGGGCAGTAATTGACAAAAACAGAGGGATGACGAAATATTATTTTTTTTTCAAACTTCAACCTAACTTTGTATTTAATTTTAGACCTTTCAAATGTGACGTATCATGTTAAAAGCCATAATTACTCCAACGAAAATATAGAAAATCAGGAACACTAGATTTTTAAGCTGTATGAGTTTTTTTTGTTAGCGATAGTACATACAAGTTAAGGAACCTTTTTAAAAAATTACTTCAAAATTTAATTGTTCATAAATTTTGCAATTTTTATTTAAAAAAAAACTGTTATTTTTGCATCAGGCTATCGATTTAGCCATATGCAATTTAATTATTTAAACAAAAGTATTTCGTGCTGATATCACTTCACTTTCAAAAATTAAACATAAGGAACCAGTAGCGTGCAAAGGTGATCGGGCCCCCCGCCCCGCAAATTTTGAGCTGGGGCCCCTTTGTCACTTATACCACCCAATGTGGTTCTCTACGAGGCCCCCTAAGGTCGCCCCCCGCATCGCGGGTCCTGCGGGGCCCGTCCTGCAGGCAACTGTAAGGAACAATTTAAATTAATCAAAACAAAACAGAGCAAGTAAAATTTATTTTATAGAAATATCAAAGATTTCCCTAAATATATCAATTGCATTTAAATACATTTTAACTGATCATTTTTAAGTATTTGCTATTAAACAGGTATTATCTTTATAAAAAACTGCAATTATATTGTGATCTATTTTTAAAATCCATGAACTTTAAGTTGGTCTGGTTTTGCTAGTCCAGCTTTTGTAAGCCACTGACAAATGTTTTCTCGTTGATCTCCTTGCAACTGCAGAACCTCTCCGTATTCAGGGTGCTCTATCACAGTTCCATTACAGGCAAATTCCTAAAAACCAAACGTTTTAGTTTTATGCAATAAGTAAAACCAGTACTACCACTTTAATTATCTTCGTCTTAATAACAACAATCAATCTCAAATTAAAATTTTGTTTTTTAAAACAACCAAGTGTTCAAACTTTTATAATGGATTGTGAATAAAGGGGGTATGTATCTGTGCCATTTTGAATGGTTTTACGTTTAAGTTAAAATTTTAATTAGAATAATTATTAATCTAATTAGGCTATAAAGTTACAATTCATTAAAATCAGACTACTTTGTCAAGTTTAAAATAAAGTGATATCTGAGCCTAAAATTTGTGTAAATTTTAGTTGCTAATTTTTGCTACCCTCCTAATAATATGATAACACAGGCACACAAAAGACAAAAAGGTCAAGACACATGTATTAAATTATATAAGCAGCTAAAACAGATTCCAAAGCCGCCGCCTTATTGGAATATTTGTGTATTTGGCAAATATCCGAATATGTGGATGGACAAATATTCACACAAAAGCGACAAATATTTATATTTGTGACTAATACAAATTTTTGCTGCTAGTAGTCAGTAAATGAACACAAATCAAGGGCGCCGAATACCCAAAGCATTGACCGAACCAAATATTTGGCCAATATGTGGATAGTTCAATTTGTTAACTAATACTTATTTGCCAAATATCCGATTGTGTCGCGCCGGCTTAACTAGTACCTTTTATGATTGGTTTCCGACATAACCTCAAAAAAACCGCGAATTTTTAAAAAGGAACTTTTATCAAAATCTATGTGCACTTGGAAAACATTGATTATGTCGGCCATTTTAAATTTTCAAAATCGAATATAAGAATCGTTATCAGCGACTCCTAATTTAGGAGTCCTAAAAATCTTTTAATGCATCCAAATTCACATATTCACCATTTAGACAAAAATTTCGGGCATTTTTTATTCGCCATTTTGAGTTTTTAAAATCTAATATCAACATCCAGCGCCTCATAAACCATTATGTACAATTTTGCAGCTCAATTCAAACTTTTTTCGACTTCTGGCCAGGTTTTCGGGCAAATCCGTCTGTGTGCGTCGCATCATAAGTAGGGATGGCAGATTGAAATTATTTTTTTGATATATTGTATAAAGCGATTCTTCGAAAATCATATATCGATATCAATATACAGGGTGTTTCAATAAAAACTCCCAGGCCAATTATTTCGAAAACTAAAAGTGACATTTAATTTCTGTAAACGCCAGTTTTTAGCCTCTATGATTGGCTTCACAACTGTGTAAAAAATGTGTTTGAATAATGCAAGATGTAGGTGGTGCCACTGTGCAAAAAAATTTTTCGATGGCAGGTACTTTTAAATTAATTTTTGATCAAATTATGTTCCATACAAATTTTTGATAAATCCGACATGAACGGAGATATTTGGGGTTAAGTTTTTTTTATAATTTTACAGAGTATTTTAATTAGAAATATTTTTAATATCCTTTAGCAGAATGTTAATTTAATTTTGGTAATGATAATTTTGGTGATAAAACGCTCGTATAGCGCTAACTAGATTAAAAATATTAAGTCCAGTGACGTCTCAGGGGGCCCTTTAACAAATATTATTGGAAAAAAATAATACGTAATTTTAATATATTTTTCGGAATAAGCAACTTAAAATATCCTTTTTTTTGTCTGTTGAATTGTTTTTATATCTTACTTCGTTTTCGAGAAATAAAAATAAAACCATTTGAAAAACAAAACCATAAATAATAATAATAACGCTATATTTTATTATCTTTATAAAAAACTGCAATTATATTGTGATCTATTTTTAAAATCCATGAACTTTAAGTTGGTCTGGTTTTGCTAGTCCAGCTTTTGTAAGCCACTGACAAATGTTTTCTCGTTGATCTCCTTGCAACTGCAGAACCTCTCCGTATTCAGGGTGCTCTATCACAGTTCCATTACAGGCAAATTCCTAAAAACCAAACGTTTTAGTTTTATGCAATAAGTAAAACCAGTACTACCACTTTAATTATCTTCGTCTTAATAACAACAATCAATCTCAAATTAAAATTTTGTTTTTTAAAACAACCAAGTGTTCAAACTTTTATAATGGATTGTGAATAAAGGGGGTATGTATCTGTGCCATTTTGAATGGTTTTACGTTTAAGTTAAAATTTTAATTAGAATAATTATTAATCTAATTAGGCTATAAAGTTACAATTCATTAAAATCAGACTACTTTGTCAAGTTTAAAATAAAGTGATATCTGAGCCTAAAATTTGTGTAAATTTTAGTTGCTAATTTTTGCTACCCTCCTAATAATATGATAACACAGGCACACAAAAGACAAAAAGGTCAAGACACATGTATTAAATTATATAAGCAGCTAAAACAGATTCCAAAGCCGCCGCCTTATTGGAATATTTGTGTATTTGGCAAATATCCGAATATGTGGATGGACAAATATTCACACAAAAGCGACAAATATTTATATTTGTGACTAATACAAATTTTTGCTGCTAGTAGTCAGTAAATGAACACAAATCAAGGGCGCCGAATACCCAAAGCATTGACCGAACCAAATATTTGGCCAATATGTGGATAGTTCAATTTGTTAACTAATACTTATTTGCCAAATATCCGATTGTGTCGCGCCGGCTTAACTAGTACCTTTTATGATTGGTTTCCGACATAACCTCAAAAAAACCGCGAATTTTTAAAAAGGAACTTTTATCAAAATCTATGTGCACTTGGAAAACATTGATTATGTCGGCCATTTTAAATTTTCAAAATCGAATATAAGAATCGTTATCAGCGACTCCTAATTTAGGAGTCCTAAAAATCTTTTAATGCATCCAAATTCACATATTCACCATTTAGACAAAAATTTCGGGCATTTTTTATTCGCCATTTTGAGTTTTTAAAATCTAATATCAACATCCAGCGCCTCATAAACCATTATGTACAATTTTGCAGCTCAATTCAAACTTTTTTCGACTTCTGGCCAGGTTTTCGGGCAAATCCGTCTGTGTGCGTCGCATCATAAGTAGGGATGGCAGATTGAAATTATTTTTTTGATATATTGTATAAAGCGATTCTTCGAAAATCATATATCGATATCAATATACAGGGTGTTTCAATAAAAACTCCCAGGCCAATTATTTCGAAAACTAAAAGTGACATTTAATTTCTGTAAACGCCAGTTTTTAGCCTCTATGATTGGCTTCACAACTGTGTAAAAAATGTGTTTGAATAATGCAAGATGTAGGTGGTGCCACTGTGCAAAAAAATTTTTCGATGGCAGGTACTTTTAAATTAATTTTTGATCAAATTATGTTCCATACAAATTTTTGATAAATCCGACATGAACGGAGATATTTGGGGTTAAGTTTTTTTTATAATTTTACAGAGTATTTTAATTAGAAATATTTTTAATATCCTTTAGCAGAATGTTAATTTAATTTTGGTAATGATAATTTTGGTGATAAAACGCTCGTATAGCGCTAACTAGATTAAAAATATTAAGTCCAGTGACGTCTCAGGGGGCCCTTTAACAAATATTATTGGAAAAAAATAATACGTAATTTTAATATATTTTTCGGAATAAGCAACTTAAAATATCCTTTTTTTTGTCTGTTGAATTGTTTTTATATCTTACTTCGTTTTCGAGAAATAAAAATAAAACCATTTGAAAAACAAAACCATAAATAATAATAATAACGCTATATTTTTTGTTTCAAAAACAAAGGTAAAACATTAAAACATAATAAAATAAAATAAAAGGATGTTTTAAATTTTATGAAAGAACTGGTGGGAAATTATACAAAATTATTAATGAAAATTAGAACAATACCAAAAACTAACTAATGAGGTCGAATGAGGTGTTCAAAATTATTGCCGTTTTCATACAAACACATAGCAAATCGATATAATAATTCGCTTCTGCAAAGTCTCAATAGTGTATGTCGATTAATAGCGGCTATAGAAGCATACATTTTGTTGTACAGGTTAGCCATGTCTTCTATTGGTTCCTTGTAGACATCATTTTGTAAGCAGCCCCATAAATTAAAGTCCATCGGGGTAAGATCAGGGGACTTTGCTGGCCATCTAAGATCCCCATTTGTGCTGATCACTTTTCCTGGAAACGTCACATTTAGATGATTTATTACGAAATTGCTATTGTGTGCTGGGGCACCGTCTTGATGAAACCACTTAGTATTTACAATAATTCCTAAATTTTGTAACAGCAAAGGGAGATCGGTTTGCAGAAATTGTAAATATCGCACTGAAGTTAAATTTTCATGGTACAAATAGGGCCCGACTATGTAACCATTTACAATACCGCACCAAACATTTACCCCAAATCAGGTTTGAAATTTAGTCTGTCGCAACCAGTTAGGATTTTCCTGAGACCAGTAGCGACAATTATGTTTATTAATTACTCCATTATTGTGATTCGTCACTCCACATAATTTGGTTTAATAAATTTGGATTTTCTTCCAAAAGAATATGAAAATGTGCCAAAAAATTTAATCTGCGCTGGTTATCTCCTGGTTGTAGATGATGCACTAAATGAACCTTGTATGGAAAAAACTTATTTCCTTTTAGGATTCTGCGACACGAACTTAGTGAAAAATTAGTTTCATCTTTTAATTTTTGTAATGACGTTTGTGGGCTATTTTCTACTGTTTGGAGAACTAAAGCTACATTTTCGTCAGTCGTAACCCTCTTCCTTCTTGGAACCTTTCCCTTTTTAAAACTACCATATGTAGGTAAGTTGGTACACAAAGCTACAAAAGATTTGGGATCGGGCGTTGGTCTTTCTGGAAAACGAGCTCGATAGCAGCGTACAGCTTCTGAAGCATTTTGATGGCATTCTCTATAAACTAAAACCATGTTCAATTTGTTTTGATTTGTATGGTGAACCATTTTTATTTTAGAAATGTAGAAATTGCTTACATTGACACTGACATTGAGTAAAGTGAAGAAAAATTTACTTGATGTTTCTAACATTCATTTGTTTTTATTTAATGACTATTGTTTTCCAGAGATATGCAGTGAAATGGTTTTATTTTATTTCTCGAAAACGAAGCAATTCAACAGACAGAAAAAGGATATTTTTAGTTGCTTATTCCGAAAAAAATATAAAAATTACCAGAAAATCAGTGGGGTATTATTTTTTGCCAATAATATTTGTTAAGGGGCCCCCAGAGACGTCACTGGACATAATAATTTTAATCTAGTTAGAGCTAAAATCACTAAAATTATCATTACCAGAATTAAATGAACATCTGCTAAAGGATATTATAAATATTTATAATTAAAATACTCTTTAAAATTATTTAAAAAAAAACTTAACCCCAAATATCTCCGTTCATGTCGGATTTATCAAAAATTTGTATGGGACATAATTTGATCAAAAATTAATTTAAAAGTACCTGCCATCGAAAAAATTATTTGCACAGTGGCGCCACCTACATCTTGCATTATTCAAACACATTTTTTACACAGTTGTAAAGCCAATCATAGAGGCTAAAAACTGGCGTTTACAGAAATTAAATGTCACTTTTAGTTTTCGAAATAATTGGCCTGGGAGTTTTTATTGAAACACCCTGTATTACAAAAGGGTTGGAAATTTTAGGTTCAAATAAAAAAAGGTGTTACATTTATTTAACCAGGGCCGGGCCTAAGGGGGGTGTAGGGGGGGGAGTCACCCCCCCCAAAGTCTTGGCAGTTGGTTCCAAATCCAAAGACGGTTGGCAAAATCTATAGTATTTGGGTCGGTTGGTTGGGTATACCTACCCTACCAACCAACCCATCACAATAAATAAAATGAAATATAATTTTTAAACTTTACCTACATATTACAAAATTATAATTTTTAATCTATTCCCAGCAAACACAACCGTAAAGGTTCTGTAATGGCCGTTTAAACGCGTGCCTTTAATAAACTAAAGGCCCTTTAAAGGCTGACTTTAATGGATCTCTACATATTATGTCGCGTTCACCTTTTATGGGCATATAACGGCAGTCGATAAAGACACTTACAAGAACCGCTAAAGGTTCCGATATGGCAGGTTAAAGGTACAAATGTGGCAAGCTAAAGGTTCTTATATGGGGTGTTAAAGATTCTATAGTGGTTAGTTAAATATTCTTTAATGGATAAGTAAAGTACCTATTATGTCGGATTAAATGTGGTACCTACCTATATATTTACTAGGTACGGATATTCCATGATAATTGAAATATTTTATCCCGACCGATTTTTGACGGTAGGGATAAAAATTCCTGATTATCGTGTAATATCCGACCTAATAAATATATACCTACCAAATTTAATCCACCATAATAGATAGGTCTTTACTATATAGATAACAGTCGGGACAAAAATTTCGTTATCATGTAATGTCCCTAACACTTTCAAAAAATTAAAAAAATACAAAGTGTTTAATGTGTTATAAAATACATGTAGAAAAATTAATAATTTCATTGATTTTTTTCCTCTCGATTTTTACGACCACCATCCCTGTCGATTGCTTCCCTTAACCATGCTTTTATAGTATTTTCAATATCTTTTATAGTGGCTAATTCAAATTTTAGCCTAACCGTTTCTAAAAATTAATTAATTTTTACTTAAAAGTATCATTAGTAAAAGAATATATTAACCTAGGTTATTAAATAGTACGACATTAATGTAAAAATTGTACAGTAAAAATACTTATTTGAAAAAGATACTACCTAGTTGTTTAGTTCATTAATAATTAATTATAAAATACACCTATTAGATAATTAATTAATATATCTTAAAACCTATATTATTTTTCTATATGCATATGCATAATACCACTAACATGAGGCAATTCATTAGTAAATATGGTGTAAAGCAAAGGCAAACATTTGGCACTGTAATGGTGTGTTACAGTTCCATTAACTTGTTACTTATAATTGCCATATGTGGGCCTTTAATGTTAAATTATACATATCATTGCCTGAAAAGGGCCATTGCAAGACCTTACCACGACATCCTTTGGTCTAAATTGACATTTATTAACGAAAAATTCCTGTAGAGGCCCAGTACAAGAACAGCTTGGGTTAAAAATGCCATCATTTAACCATTAAACGCTGTAATGGGCCATTACATTACCAGACATGTGTTTGCTGGGTTGTAACCTCCTATAACACAGTGCAAAAGGGAATGGGATGAAACCAAAAGCAAATGAAAGGTAATAGCTTCTACAAAAAAACCCTATGAGGTTTTTATTAGATCACGTCTCAGTTTTTTATTATACGCATTTAAAGTTGGTAGATTTTTGGACACCCTATAATGGGAAAAAAATAAGTAAAACAATTTTAATTTTTTTTAATTATTCTGGAAATATAGTCGAGGAATCCATTCCAAGTAAAGAGCATTTTTACTAGAAAATTGGGCATTTTTATAAAAAAAAATATTCTCTTTAATGCTTTAATCAAAACACAATACTTGTATACAAAAACTACATTTTTTGTGGTAATATATTGTAATATATCGATGGTATTTTTGCAAAAGGGCGAATATGCCATTTTCCTGTTTTGATAAAAAAAAAAGTATTACGGCGTATTCGCCCTTTTGAAAAATATTATTACTACAAAAAATTGCAGTTTTTGTAGCAAAAACGAGGTTGTTTAAAGGTAAAATTGATTTGTTTAAGTACTTAAAAACACATAATATTATGTACTATATAGTAAATCAGTGACAGCAACAAAAAAATTTTACGTTTTTCTTAATTAATATACTTAA